AGCAAATAAGGGATAAGGCCAACCTTCAGTACTTGAAGCTTATGTTATTGCAGAATTTGAGCAACATTAAATGTACACAATTTTACTTTCTATATATAATCACTTCTAAATGATACTCTCTGACTCATAACATTGTTCAAGTAAGACATTTAATTTAAGACGGATGTAGTAATGAAATAATATTACTGAACAAGACTTTAGTTTGGGTGGTGAGACGATTTTCAATTTAAAGTTCTTAACCTCTTCAAATAATAGTCTAGTAACTTTACTTTATCAACAGGCCTTTGACTTTTTTAAATACAAACCATTCATCTCCGGAGTGCGTGAAAAAATAATAATAATAATAAAAATAATCTTTACCCCCATCAGCAAACAAACAAAACAGAAACACTGCTGTGTTAGGAGCGCGTGGGTCCCAGTGAGACAATATTGAAATCTTGGATTAGATTTGGTGATGGATGTATGCCTCATATTCAATACTGAGCGAGACAAGTCTCCATCCACCATCCTTTTTGGGACTTTGAGTTGTTATGCAATGTTGGCCATGTACATGACCACTTGTAGACACAACGCACATAGTTTGGTCTTACCTTTTTTAAAAACTCGTCAATATGTCTTCATTTACCGTCGGTTAAAATTTAACAATATATAGACCCTTTTTAAATTATATAATTTTATTTATTTTTTATAAAGTTTTGATTGATTTATTTATTTTGGAAAGTAAGTTTTAATTTATTATAACAGATCCCACCTTAGTGTTAGGCACTTGATGAATTCTATAAAAGGTTACAATGTCTGAAATACCATTATTAAGTTTTTGGATAAAAAGGTAAAATAAAAGACTACAGTTATCAAGTTGAATGATCATTATTGACATGAAAGATAAATGAGATTATGAAACTTAAAGATAGTTTATGTGAGATATTAACAAATATTAAACTAAATTTTATAAAAAAAAAATTCCTAAATTAACATTGACATGTAATATTTAGGCATTTTTCAGTGTAGGAGGTATTTATCTCCATCCAAAGGGTGGGGACATCTAATAATGTATGTTTGGAGGTGATGGCAAGGGGGACTCTTAGGAGAGAAAAATGATAGAAAGTTGTAATGTTGGACAAAATGGCAAGAGATCAACCTGCAGAGGGGGAAATACTTTATTACTTTGGCTGTATTGATGAGTGATTCAACACATTAAAGTAAAATACTTTTCGCTCAAATTGGAGCCTAGCCGACTGCCTAGATTACAATATATAATTAGTTGATGGTACAAATAATGCAGGATAATCGAAGTGGAGACATCTTTTAATAATATATACCTTGATACCCTTTTTTTTTTTTTTTTTTTTTCGAATTTTCAAATTAATATTGATGGCAAAGGGAGACTCCTAAGAGAGAAAAAACATAGAAAATTGGGAGAAATACTTTATTACTTTGGTTGTATTAATGACAACTGATTAAATATTAACACTTAGTGATTCAACCCATTAAAATAAAACACTTTTGGCCCAAATTGGAGTCTTAGGTAGGAGTGGCAAATTACGACACGACACAACAATACGATACGAACATGACACGAATTAAAAGGATTTGAATTTGATATAAATAGGTTTTGGGTCATAAAAGGGTCGACATGATTAATCCGTTTACTTAACCGTGTAGGGTTAGGGTTGAGGAGTTTAACCCGTGTAACTCGTTTATGACTCATTTAACTTAACATGTTATAATCGTGAATATGACCTATGTAATATGATACCTGTTTAAACCCAATTACTATGAATAATTAAGTCATTTTAACATAAACCCGGTCTATGACAATGATTTTTCTTTTTATTTTGAATATTTAGATATATTATGACAATTTTTTTCTATTATTTAGTATTTGATTAAATATTAAATGTCTCGTTTTAATAAACAGATTATTAAACACGATAACATGTTTACCTGTTTAATAAACGGATTGGGTTAGCGTTGAGAATTCTTGATACGATTATTAAATGGGATGGGTTTGGATTTACCTATTTAGTATAATATCCTTATATCGATACGACACGAATACGACTCACGAACACGAATTGCCACCCCTAATCCTAGGCGACCACCTGAACTGTCTAAACTCAGGACCAGTTATGTGTAACAAGATTTTATTAGTTGATGACATGAATACTTTCTCATACATAGAGTGGGGTTCATGTTATATGTAGGAACCACACACCCTATGTAGGGCTGCAACTTGGGCGGGTTAACCCAGCCCAACCTGAAAATTTGAAATTTGGACTTTAAGTTTACAAATCGGGTTCATATTCGGGTTGGATTTTGTCAAAACCCAGACATATTCGGATTGGGCTCGGGCTTAACTCGAACCCAACCCAAAACTCAAAAATAAAAAAAAAAATTATTTATTTATTTTTTTCTCCATTATCTCTCTCTCTCTCTCCTTTCTCTCTCTACCATCCCTATACATTCAAGTTAGCAGTTGCAAATAGAGAAAGGGGGGCAAGCTTGAGAGTTGAGAGACAGCGGTTGAAGCTTGCGAACGGCGAACCCGATTTGGAATAGCGGGCGATGAAAACTGAAAGATCTGGATTTTGATTTGTTGAACGATCTAAAATGGTTGAGAGTTGAGAGACAGTGGTTGAAGCTTTGCGAATGGCGAACCCGATTTGGAACAGCGGGCGATGGAAACTGAAAGATCTGGGTTTTGATTTTTTGAACAATCTGAAATGATATGCCGATATGGGTTTTGAACTTTTGATTGTTGCAGACAGATAGATGAAACTGAAATATATAGGCTTTGAAGTTCTGATTCTTGTAGATTTTGTAGTTTGCAATTGTTGCAGAGAGAGAGAGAGAGAGAGAGAGAGAGAGAGAGGGGGGGGGAGGTAAGTTCAGAGAGAGGCGAGAGGGAGGCGATTGTTGAGGCTAAAATGATTTGCCTTAAATAAAATATATAATATATATATAGATAATTTGTTTTTAATAATTTTTTTCAACCTGTCAACCCGACCCAATCCGTCCAAAAATACTCGGGCTGAGTTATTATCATAACCCATATTAAGTACAATTCGGATTGGCCCAACCTAACCCGATTCGAGTTGAAGTTGGGTTAAAATTAGACTAGATTGGCCAACCCAACTTATAGCCCTAACCCTATGTGACCTAATCTTCATCCTTTCCCGTGCACCTTGTTGTGCACAAGATATGATCTCTCTCTCCTTCTGACTCGTTAGTGAAAAGAAAGGAAGTGACGAGTCTGCTTCTCGGGGGTTGGATGTGTCACACGTGAGATTTATTATGAAAGTCACCAAATTCAACTAGCTTTACTCATGAAAGATTTATTTCTCAATTAAAAAGTGCTTTGTGTTAAAAAAATATATGTATAAATAAATTAAAAAGTGCTTTCTACATGCAATGTAGGAGTTGCCAGCAACTTTTGCATTGAGCCCGTGTCCACATGAGCCAGATTAGGATTTGGGAATGCAACTTAGAATAATTCGAATTTAATTCATGATATTCAGGCCCGACTATGGCTTATTTGTTAAAGTGAAATAATTCTTTGAAGAAGAATGTGTGAATACCAATTAAGGAAAAAAAAAATTTAAGCTATTGATTAACTTTGATAAATAGGCCAAACTAGTCTATCTTTATAAATCATTCCTCTGTATTTCCCTTTGAACTATAAACCACCAACCCATGTTCTAGTCGACCTACGATCCAACAAACCTAACTTGAACCAAACCCAAACTTATGAACTATTTTTGTCGGATTAGGTTTGGGTTCATCTGATTCAAATAAAAAAAAACGTTTTTCAAATCCTTCAAATTCAGGGTTGAAATCAATCTAGATTTGAATTGGTCCCTCTAAATTATACCCCTGGATAGAATGTATCTGATATAAGTACGCATATCAGGACCATGTGCTGGATCTCTCCCCCAGTCCAAAACTAAACTATCAACATATACATAATGACAATACACACACACACACACACACACACACACACACACACACACACACATATATATTAGGACCATGTGCTGGATCTCTCCCTCTGTCCAAAACTAAACTATCAACATATACATAATGACAATATATATATATATATATATATATATTAAATCTGTGTGTGTATGTGTGTGAGAGGGAGAGAGAAGATGGCCAAAACGTGGTGAAGGGAACCATAAAGCAGTACACAACCATGTTGGTATTGAAATGGACATTCATATTTGTATCTTGTACGTAGTAATAAATAATGAAATGGACGGACCTATATATCAAAGTTGGATGGTAATCTATTTGATTCCCAGACCGGACCATCACTAACTGTTTATGGGCCAAGATCCATCGCACTTGATGGATCAGTGGAATAGAAAACACTCGTTTGTTAACCCATTTATGGACCAACAGAAGAGTTAAAAGCCTATATTGTGGTGGGTCAACGCTCTCCACAAAAAGGAATACTTGCGCTGAAGAAACCGTACAGATATGTTAGATACCTATGCAGCATGAAAACAAACTAGGTTCCGTGTCTACGTTAGATACCATGTCGGACACTATACACGTTTTCAATACTTTCATGAGCTTATTTAATAACTCTGGACACTTAATAAATTAGGTGACACTTAAGAAATAGGGCCCAGGGGCATCCGCACACATCACTTTCGCATCTATCAGAGCACAATGGAATAGGGCCCATTCGACTTGCAGTCATTTGATTGTTGAAATAAACATTTTTTTTTTCTTCATATAATTCTCAAGCATTCGCTTAAAAGCCTAAAAGGTTAATAAATAAGAACTCTAATTAGACTAACATGCGCTTGGTGCCAAAATGAGCCTCTAGTTCAAATTGACATTTATGGCCTCGCTTTGGCTATTGTATTTGTTAACAATTATTGGGTGCTCAAAACATCCAATAATTTCTCATTTGTAGTAAGTCTTAGATACATTCACATAAATATTGTCTAAAGCACACAAAAAAATTATCTAAAAAGATGAAAATAAGAAGGAAAAAAATAAAAACACTGGTATTATTAATGAACTACTTATAATTTACCCCTCCCGAAACAAAATGGGCAAGTGCATTGTATTCTATACTTTCAAAATGCATAAATCAAACTTCGGGGGGAAGAATTATTCTCTTGTAAGAGAAGATACAAGAGCAATAAGAGTCCTACCTGAACTTGAATCTTCTCTTCTGAGCTACAACAGGCAATCTTTTCAATAGGTTTGCAGCCCCAATCTAGCCTTCTACCGCGCCCATGAACCAAAGATACAAGTCCAACAGCCCCAAGAAGATGGTCCAGTTGCTGAGACGGTAACCAGAAATCTGAGTTTGATCACATTTGATCTGTATATACTGCTTCAACATCATCAAGTTCAAGTAAATTGGACATAAGTTGCTTGTTCAAGTCCATAGCCTCATCATCCACCTGAGACCAATCAACAAATTTTCCACTTTTGTAGATGAGTAGGAAAGTATGGTTATAGCATGAATTTTTTAAAGGTTTAAGAAAATTATACAAAATTTAGAAGGCCAGACATAATTGAAGGTTACTATCATATATAAACTGCTTTTCAATATTTAACCAGAATTTTCGTGTTTATAATAATAATTCTAACAACAAACCATATAAATAAATCGGTGTACATTGTACTCAATAAAATTGGCAAAGGGGAGACTGCTTCCCAAGAACATTTAGACTGTGTACAACTTTACACAAAATGAGTAAAAACGATTCCATGAAAAATTCAGGGGCTATTGGGTTAATGTAGCTGTCACTATGAATAAGCACAACATGGATAAATTGGTGTAAAGTACGATAGCATGGGTATTGCTTGAATTTTTATAAGATATTAAGAAAATTATACAAAATTGTTTAGAAGACCAGACATACTAGAAGGTTTACTAGAATATATGAACTGCCTTTCAATATATAACTACAAATTTCATGTCTATAATAATAGGTCTAACAACAAACCCTGTTAATATATTGGTGTACATTCACTGCTTCCCAACAACAGCTAGATAGCATATTACTTTACACAATTTGGTATAATGGAGATCTAAGTGTGAGAAATAATGAAAAAGTCCGGGACTATCATGTTAATGTTGCTGTTACTAACCAATATGCATAATATGAAATGAAACAAGTTCAATTCTCCACTCTCCAACCTAAAACTGGGACAATCTCCCTAAGTAAAATGAACTGGACCAGAAGGAGAGGTATTGTGATATGTCTAGTCAGACATAAAATAATCACCTGGAGGCAGATTACATCTATTCGTAGAAAATGAAATCCTAGAAATGGAGTGTGTCAACATTATAGGATGAGGTGTATCTTATAAAGATTGTGAAGTTATTATGTTACAGTTCAAGTTTTGAACAAGAAGATGACGTGTGGAAAACAAGCCTAACACACAGATATCTACCTCCTGAAAATAAAAACAACATATTAGTTATAACTTTTTCATTTGTTCATTTTGGAGGACAATAAAATTTGTTACCACAAAATTGTCTGTGTGAAAAACATTGGCAGCCTGAATTTTCAGAACCGTTTCCAAGCATTTGCCTTCCCTAATACTAGAAAGTCCCTTATTTTAAAATGCCACTTCCAATTTAAGAATTGTGTTGTATATAAAATTGTTGAAGATAATTAACTCCCTCCAACCCACTCAACGGTCGGCTATTGTTGAGAGTTAAATCCCCTCTGCATCACACACAACGGAAGCATCATCACATTACATCAACACAAGCATATATGGAGATAAAAATCACACACGTCCACGTGCAACACAATATTTTACATGGTTCACCCAACTCTAGGGTTCTGTTTATGGGAGAGAAAGATTTCACTATTATGAATCAAAGAAGAGAATATACAACCACATGTCAAAACCCTAAACACTCACTCCTCGTATCTTTTGAGGCTACATGTATACACTCGGGAATTACATATACTCTCCCCTCTCCTCACAACATTCACCCTTAAACCCCTTATATCTTTTCTCTTTTCTCTTTTTTCTTTTCTCTCTCTCTCTCTCAACCTCTCATACCCATCTCTATTTATAGAGTCTTCAAAACCCAATTCCTTGTTGGACAAGTATTCCCCAACTTGTCTACAAGGAGTTACCATATCAATCTTAACTCTAAAATAGAAACTTAATGAGACACAATTTCCTTCACAAATTTTAGCATTCCAAAACGAGAAAGGAAATTAATTTTTGCACACAATTTTGAGACATAAACCAAACAATCTCCACCTTGGCTCAAAATCGGTCTTCACATTGGTGTTCAATTGCTCACGCATGACAACCCACTAATCTTCAAACTCATCTTCATCAATTGTTTTTTTGGCACAAAGCAACAAACCTCTCCTCTTTACTCTTCATATTCCCCTTTGCTCTTTATCGGGCTTAGATCAAACCCCTTCATTCTCACACCCTTGCCCCATATTGAGAACTAGCACCCACTCTTGGCTTGTCCCCAAAACTTGTTCCTTATGGACTTCACCCTTATCACCTTTGCCCCATCTTGAAAACGAGCATCCTCCGGCTTGTCCAAGACTTGTTCCTCATGGCCTATGTCTTCTTGCCCTATCTTGAGAACTAGCACCCACTCTTGGCTTGTCCCCAAAACTTGTTCCTCATGGGCCTATATATATAAGAAATGTATATATGTACTAGATTACTAAAGAAAAATTAGTTATTACAAATGTCAATTTTAAATAAATGTGTACTAGATTACTAAAAAAAATAGCTACTACAAATGTCATTTTCAAATGAATACTTTATCAAAACAAGTAAATCAAATTTTAGTTTCAATTGTGATTTATTAAATTCCAATTCCCCACATTCAGAATTATATATAAATTCCAATTCTACACAACCAAATGCACCTAAATGAAGTAATTTAAGGATAATTGAATTGCATTCATGCTCAATCAGTCACCTAGACAACTGCCATGGAACTCAGATGACCACTACAGCTTGTGTGTCTCTCTGGGCTATTTGACAACACTGACCATACCTATTGTTTCTGTGAATGTCCAGAAAGGTCCCTCTTTGCATAAAAATTGTATAAGAGGGAGAAAACTAGACCACTGATTAGCAGAAAACACCAAAATAGTTAATATTGATCCGGAAGCAATGTAGCCAGAGAAAATAATAAAGTAACATAACTAGGTATGCCAAAGTTTTCTTCTTACATCATGGCTCAAAATTTACCTGTTGTTTAGGTGGTCATATCAAATTCAAAATACTTTTTACAAAAGCACTGAAAGTGGTGAGCGACCATTGGGCATGATTGTAAGCTTGTACCTAACATAGAGAGTGTAGGAGATAGGAAAGGGGGGGAGAGAGAAACATGGGAGTAAATAAAGGAAGTGGGAGGAAGTTGAGAAAGTGGTTAATTATGTTGCAAATTCAGTAATTTACAATAACTAATTCAACCTTCCATCTCTTATTATAAAACAAGTGGAATGGTACTATGAAAAATAACGGACAGATTGATCTTGTAGCTGCTCCTAAAAGTAGGAATGTGACTTCGCTTTCTATGCATGAATGGATAAGGCACATTGGTAAATTGGTATACTCGTCATGTAAGTTGCAAAAAGTCAATGAGGATGGCTTGATACAGCGAGATTGATAACACTCCTTAGGAAGAGCTTAGATCAGTGTAATAAGCTAAAGCCACTAAAAACCAATAACCTTTACATCTTCAACAAAATATTCATTAAACAGACTTAACAAAGTAAATAAGTATATATTCATTAAACAGTGAAATACACATTGTTGATGGTAGTTCGTGAGTAGGATGAGGAGATCGTTCCACGTAAGCCAAGAAGTCTGAGATCAGTATCCAAGTGGAGATCCAAGCAACACAAGGGATTCTCTAGATATGGAGATTAAGAAAGGGAAGGCCGACTTGGGTACCGTATGAGCTCGAGCTTATCAGAGGATAGCCATTAATGTGGTGGTTGTTGTTTTAAAAGGCTGATTAACACCCCTATTTATAGTGTTTACCTCCTCGGTCAATATCTTTTAGTCCTTTGGCTGAGCCCGCTCTTACCCAAAGGTTTGAGGGTCTCTTCTTCTGACGGATGAGACATTGATGGACGGGCCGCGGCGCTTTGCCCCCTAGTCAAAAGAGGTAACAGCGCTCCCTAATTAATACGGGTCTTATCAAACGTCTTTCGCAATTAATGCGTTCCTTATCCTTCCTTTCTCGAGCTTAGGTACCAAGTATCCTTTCCCCCATGTGTTGGCCTCAGACTGAGGCGAGCCCTTGGATCTCAGCCACCTATCCACATGTCCTCAGATTCCCGTGCTTCAGGGGGGATAGGTCCCTTTCGAGATCCTGCCTTCATGACCTCGCAGGGTCCTATCCCAATTTTATCCCGAGGTCTTCTTTGCCGAGAAGAGAAATGCGTAAAAAAGGTTAGTCGAAGTCGCTCTTTCAGAGAGCACCCTTGAGCGAGCCAGGGGGGGGGGGGGGGGGGGGGGGGGGAGGAGCCCATCCGACTGGAGCGGGGCGCGTCCCTAGTAGAGGAAGGGTAGCGACCCCTTCCTCGGCTAGCAAGTTCAGTTATCGGATAGGTAGCTCGAGAATACCTAATCCACCGTGGACACGCCAGGTAAGCACTGGCCAGTTGTGCTTATGTTGCAGAGGTGGCGCCACTTAATCAACTATCGTGGCGCGGTCATCAACACACATATATTGGTAACAAAAAAATGCAGTTATAGTAAGCTTTCAAGATATTGTATAACTATTCTATCTCGACTCAAGTAATAAACAGCATGGACGGGTTTGTGCTGGAGACATACCTCAATTGCAGTTATTGGAAGTAGCTCAAACCCGTTATCAGGTTCAAAAGTTATTCCTTCCTCACGGAGTTTTGATAGTATTGCTGCGTAGTTCTCTGCCGAACTTACAATTTTATAATATCTGCCAAAAAAAAACCGAGCTTTAAAGCTTCCAGATACAGAGAAGCAGAGACACTAAAAGCAAACTCAAAACCTATGCAAATTATGTTGCTGCCATCTGATGTCCAAAAAGTAATAACAGTAGTAATTAAGTGGCAGGGAATCCTTAATCTGCCAGAGTGCAAGCATAATTCCTTTGAGATACTTATCAAAAAATAATAATTCCTTTTTGAGTGAAAATATTTATAACATTTTCTTTTTTAATAAGTAAAGGTTTCCTATCTACTACAACAAAACAAATGTCAAGTGAAAAGTTCAGAAAGAAAATTATTGGTTATTGTGCCTTCATATCCCCAAGAAAAAATCCCAAAAAACCTGACAAGAAATAAACATCCAAAAAATTAGCCAGAGTACCTTTCTGATCTATCCTCTTCTGTATCATCTTCATACACCGGAGGTTCTATTACATCATCGGCACCAACGTCTAAAGCAATGGCAAGGAGCTGGTCTCTGTCAGCATCGGCGACTTTAATATTTACAGCCCAAGCACGATTGAACTTGAACATGATAGATCCAGGATCTGCCATCTTTCCACCACAGTCCTTTACCACCTCTCTAACAGCTGCCACTGATCTGTTTACTTTATCTGTTAAGACCACAACTATAATACCAACTCCACCAAAACCATAAACCTGAATATATAACAAGCACCAATAAAAGATTAAAAAGATTTTCCAATGTACCAAAATCTTGAAAACACAATAAGCACCACTGTAAAGAAGAACTAACCCCAGATTATTTAATATGGTCCCAGAATCAAAATGGATATGAACAGATGATAGACGAGACGGACATTACCTCATAGAATTTCTCAATATAAGCTTCCTGTCCCTTCTCAGAAGCTCTCTTGATGTTGCGCTCTAAGATATCCTTGGGTACATCAAGTTCCTTAGCTTTCTCCAGTACAGCAGCCAAAGCTGTATTTGATACAGGACTGGGACCTCCTTTCTTGACACTGTATTGTACAAAGAGTGAAATTCATGATCAGTAATTGATGACGTACAAAGTCATACGTCACTGTTACAATATTTTATGCAGCATTATTTAACACCCGACAATTTATTTTCCAAACATGGCCTGTTCTCTTGTGCTTTAGGCTAAGGATAGGAGAATTATTCTATGCTTTCAGCTTCATCAAATCATGAAAGGATTCAGAGCAATGACTTACGCAGATACGACTTCCTTTCCAATTCTTGCATACAGCTTTGCCTTCTTCGCATCCTGAGCCCCCTGCATTGAAAGCACCCTCAAATTAATGATAAGTAGCAGATTACAAATATATACATATGTATTTTGCCTTCCTATCCTAAAGCATGGAAAACATTGCATCAAAATATCTCTGACCATATGAGAACGAGACATACAATCACATTCCACTCAAGCCAATGTTGAAATTTCATCATTATGATTTTCCATGTCGTTTTTATTAGAGTTGCATGCTTGCTCTAACTTGCAGTCATGTCCATAACCTAAATTGTAAGTTTTGTGATTTGCAAATGCTTATGTCTTATTTGCAAGAACATTAGAAAGGGAATAAAGAAGTACCAAAATTATAGAACGCTATATACATCAACATATCCAAGTACTTTATGAGTTAACTGTGCTTACTTCCAAAAGAAGAAGAAGAGAGATTATGTGGCAAAGCCAGTTACAGAATTAAGGACGCAATGATGTTCATTCTATTATAAAAATGAAAGCTAAGTGACAAATCATATTGGTGGCTTTGTTAGTATAGTCAATCAGTTTGTAATATAAAATCTTTCATAACATTTGCTGGAAACCCTAGAAATCATTGCTTGTTGCAATGATGAAATCTTGGTTGACAAGTGTGAGGATGTAGGTTCGTCTGAGAGCAGTCTCTTTATACAAAATAATGTCAAAAGTCAGGTTTATCTCCAAACATCCTATACCAGTACTCTGCGTAGGCAGAAGTAGCACAAGGTAATGGACCCTATAATGGCCTTATTTGATGGAATCCTAAACAATGATATACCTAAATAAACAAATAGACCCAATTTGCAGGTTATAACCACTCAAAATTAATAAAATAGGGCTAAATCTGGAGGCAACAAACAAAGCAATGTTCCATCTCAAATGAATTCAACGGCTTCTAACAGGCTTTTCATCAAACATTTGGAGTTCAAATTGAAAAACCAATAAGATTATTTTTTTTCACAGTACCAAGAACAGCTCACTATATATTCACAATCTCCAAAACATATCCTCCACTCAAAAATGAAAACTAGTGTCCATAATCTTTCATCATTGTGTTTTCCTGTGTGTCTATATATAGACACATATATATGTGTGGTGTGTGTGTAAATATATATATATATATATATATATATATATATATAGAGAGAGAGAGAGAGAGAGAGAGCAAAAGGGTGTACCTTTCTACCGGCAATCTTGCAGGATCGCCTGCCCATACAGAGAGGAGAGAAAGTCCATATCTTTCTAACTGAATTTACGGACTGGAATTCAAATGATGAGACCCAGGATGAATAAGACAATGTTGATGATGATAATGATGTAGATAATAGGTTCCTACTTAGCAAACCAGTACCTGAAAAAAATGAGTTCTTTAATCACATTTCATGTCTTATAAACTGAAAATCAAGAAGAAAATTAAACTTCCATACAAATTTATGTGTATATATAAATATATAGAGAGAGGGGGGAGACTTTGGAGGGTGAAGGAGTTTGGGCATTTGAGTGGAACCCCAGTTGAGAATCTATAAAGAATTGCTCCAAAAGCTTTAATTGAAGAAGAAGAGCCCATTCTGGATACTTTCTTGTTTGGGGCTCGCTATCTCCTATTGCTTTACTTTCAGATTTTCAGTAAACTGTACACACCAAAAATACGAGATGGTAAAGGTGGTGTCCCACTGTCTGTGCGTGCGTGTATCCGCATACGGGTTATAATTAGACCCGTAAACAGATGGGATACGGGAATGCTGGGTTCCATCTAATTCAATTACTCACGAATATTTTGTAAATGAATTTAGATTTCACTTCTTATTGAACGAAAATCCAATTTGATTCGGGGGTGCTTTTTTTTTTTTTTTTTTTAAAAAAAAAAGAATGGAAATTAACGACAAAATAAAATGACCAACAATTATTGGAATAAAAATGGCAGAAAAACAAAAGATAAAAATATATATATAGAAGAAAAAAGTAAAGAAAATTGGATGGTTTACGTATTGAAAAATGAAGAAGATAAGAAAATAATGATAAGTATGTTTTAATAATATGTAAATGTTATATATATGTTTAGTATATTATGTTAAATAAATTATCAAATTCGAATCGTTAACGAATTTTTAGATTAAAACTTCAATTCTTATATGAGTTATTGAAATTCCGTTCAAAATCATATTCATTGATAGATCTATTTATGATCATGAAAAGACTAAATCACACTAAGCTCCATTGTACTATCAAAAAGTTACAAAATTCTTCTTTCTACTCTTTTCTTTTTGGCAGCAAATACTCTTATTTGTTGAACAAAAAATATGTGAATAATTACATAATGTTTCACATGCATTCCATTTTAACACTAAAATCCAATGTCCCGCTTTTATAAAGGTAATTTGTAAATTAAAACTATTTGTTGACCAAAAAAAACAGAGGAGTGTATTTTTTTTTTTTAACTTTTTAATAGTCCCCACCCCCCCCCCCAAAAAAAAAAAAAAAAAAAAAAAACTTTTTCCCACGCTAGTTTAGTAGTTTTGAAGCAAATTCTACCCAAATGTCAAATTTGACCCACTATTTACAGAAGTTCACCGTAACCAAAACTATTTTATTTGCGTCGGTGCCTAAGTTTCCGGCCCAACTCACACCGTTGCTAATTTTGGAGAACAAACTTACGGTTCAAAGTTGGACCGAAATTTCGCAGCGATGCAAATGTTCATGTTCCAATTTTGCAGCAATAAGAATCTAAAGAATTCAAATTGAATCCATTAGGGGACTTGAACATCACAATAATTGTTTCACATTAAAAAATAAATAAATAATTCTTCCATCTATCTTTTAAGATTATCTGATCAGAGTATTGCCTTTTTCAATGCCACTAATTGAGTGAACTTTATACAACAAATTTAATTTTAGTGCATCATTTATATTATCCACCTTAATCACATAGTTTAATGGTACTTACTCCAATCTCACCTCTCTAAATTTCACCTTTTAAAGTAAAAAAAAAAAGGTCGATGATTAAAGCGCTCGTAAGCACGACGTGGATCTCCTCTTTGAGATTCCTATCCACCATGGGCAGAAAAGAACCTCTTTTGATTATCAGTAACCTCATAATGCCCTTCACACAATTAACTGCCCCTTGGTAACTTCGTTTCTTTTCCATCTCGTGTGGGAAAGTATTCAGCAAAAAAGACACAAAATATTGATAAGGAGTCGGATTGTTGGACAAATCAGACTAATTTTAGGTGACTAAGAGTTGATATCATGATGACGTCAAAACTCAACTGTCACACTTTTGGACTCCAGATCATTTTCCCAAAACAGAGGAGAGAGTAGACACCCTGAAGGAACCATTAGCCAAAAATGAAAAAGTCACAGAAGAAATACACTTGGTATCACATTTGATCCAAATCTTATCAAAGCCATATCATTTGAGAATGCTAGAAAGAAAGCTCTTAAGAAATTGAATCATATACCTTGATAAGGTCTAGTCTCAATGCTATTGTTGGATGTAAACTCTACTAGCAAAACAATATCATGAGCAAAATCATATAATTTTGGACCTTCCTCACCTTAATAAAGGCTGCCTGCTCTTTCTCAACAAGCTTACAAAAGATCACACAATTTATTAGCTAAAATGCTATCACTAGCAGACTCGAAATGGAATTTGTTTCGATCAAAATACTTATAAGAATTATCAACTTGGTTTCTCTATGCAACACAATTTACAAGGTCGAGCTCATAATCTAAGTTGTGTTACCAACTTTAAACTCCATAACCAAATGAATACAAGACTTGCAGGCCTAGAAGAAACACCCAAAACCTAACCAAGAAAGATATTCAGGAAACAAGAAAATGTGGACTATCATGACATCAAGTCTCAGTCTCAGTGCCTCACTAAAACAACACAAATGCAAAACTCCAATTCAGAATCTTTAACATGAAAAGCCTGAAGTCGATACAACAAAATAGAAGGCGCAATTCAAATATCCCAACAGATCAGTTATCTCTCTTCATGAAGGAGTGTTCCTCCATGTACCTTTTCCCACTTTGCTACCTCGTTACATTATGTGCCACTTCCCTCAGCCAATTAAGAGGTCTGGAATCTCGGTTTAATTTCCCCATACCCCTCTCAAACTGGTTAATTTATCAAGAGTGAAAATTAATTCACCACAATGGTCATTGAATATTACCAATACATGACAAACTTAGAACACCCAAAAAAGACTAAAATGGAAGTTCAGCTTTACAAAGTACCTGGACCAGCCGTGCATGGGACAACATTCAGGAGATGGAGTAAAATTACAAGTAGATAATAAACCAAAAAGTACAAAAGAACTTACTTGAATTCCACATTGACACACAGTGAAGGAGGTGTAGAAGAGGAGGACAAAAAATATGATGAAATAACACTGAAGGAAAGTTAAGAAATGCAGTTAATATTGTACTAATGCCATAATCACAGGACTAAATTTTTAAGTGGAAAAACCTAACAATTTCAAACTAATATTAATCAAATGCGAATTGTAACTGACATTGCTCATTAGATTAGTGCCACGCACTTCAATTCATGAAAACTTGTACCAAATTTAGCCACCATAATTCAATAAATGAAATGTTGTACAGAACTGCACACAACACAAGTTGTGTTGTGTACTTGTGTTGTGTTTGCTTTTTTCATCACTATCCCATGAATCATATGATGCTTGCTTAACATTTTGCCTTTCAATTGCAAAGTTTAGTAGGAAGGTTCGGATAGGGAAAATAAATAAATAAATAAGAAGTTTCAAATACCCATAACATAAAGTCAAAGTGCATTACTAGTAAACACATATGGTGGATTAATTCACCAAGAAGGAAATGCGAGAGCATGAACAAATCAGGAAATCAGCATATTAATATAATGGAGATAAAGAAAATTTGATTGATGATTGCTCACAGGTTCCTGAAGCACGAAACCATATAAGAACTCCAACCAGCATCCAATATACACTGATCTAGCCCAAAATTTTAAGTCCTTATTTCATCCATCAGTTCTCCTCCACTCTAACATACAAAATTTGCTAATATTCTCTTGCATTGTCACAGGGATCCACATTCTCATTCTTTCGTCCAGCATAATGTGCCTCAAGGTGCGGCATCCAAGCACCATCTCTAGCACATCATCCCCTTTAAAGTTGTGACAAGAAGCCAACACAAGAATTTCCAAAGACTTATGATTTGCAAAGGCACGAATGCCATCACCCGTTATTAATTCACAACCCGTCAGATCAACCGCCATCAAATTCAGGCAGTTTTGAGCAAGAGAAATGACTGTAGCATCTGATATGTTAATCAACCACGGTAAGTGCAAAGTCTTGAGAGTCTGCATTGCAGCAATTGCCACACCTCCAATGTCAGTAACTTTCGCTCCACAGTCTGCTAGATTCAACTCCTCCAAACAACACATTTCCCTCAAATGCAATACCCCAATATCTGTAATCCGATCACACTCTGCAATAACCAATTTTCGCAGAGTCCTAGACAGAGACCCACTTGCCAACAAAGCCAAACCCATATCTGTGATTAACCAACAACCTTGCAAACTCAAAACCTGCAATGAATTTGCATTCCCAATAGCTTTAAGGGCTTCATCTGCAATCCTATTGCATCCAGCCAAATCCAAAGTTGTCAAATTTCGAGCCAAATTAACAATAGAAATGACTCCAAAATTCCTAACTTGGCATCTCCTCCTCAGATACAGTTCAGCTAAATTGGGACACCCCATTGCTATCTCACATATACCATAACCATCAACATCATCCCAAGCCGGTATATCACGAAACCCATCATGTGTTCTTTTGTAGTTGAGATTGAGAACTTCAATATTGGGACAAGTTTTGGCGATGAATTTGATTTGGGTATTGGTGATCACTTTTATTGATTTCAATGAGACTAAGTTTGGGAATCTGGGTAAGAAATTAGGAAGAAGATTGGGCTCGAAAACCTGTAAAGATGATCGGTGAAGACCCTCGACTTTGTACCAATGCTTGCAGACTTCAGAGAATGATTTTCTATCATTAGGGTTATCAACCCAGTTGAGAATTAAGCCCAGCACGTCATCGCCGAATCTATCCATGACTCAATGATGTTCACTGAACATGAAATGAAACCCTAATTTCTCTGTAACACGGAGCAAAAGAAAAGCTGCTGAGACGTCAATACTATTCCACTGTATAGTAGCAGCTCCCAGGAATGATTGATGGAAAATAATAATAATAAAAATGAAGAAAAACTCTTGTAAATTCTAACAAGACAACGAAACAAATGACTACAGAGGTCTCGGAAATCAAAAGCTAAGGATTTTTAGTTTGAGGTTTATATAAAGGGGAGAGAGAAATTTTACGGTAAAAATATTATTTGGGTGGGTATGATATGGATCGAACCTGATCCCAATTATGATTTAGACAGAAACGTTTCTCTTTCATCTTCACACTACCCTTATTTAGCATCTGAAACCCTAGCTTTTTTTGAACCTCATCTGATATCGACTTTGAATGTGTTTAAAATCGTACAACAGGCAATGGAGCAAGTTGTCACGCGATTTTTTATTCCAGCCAAATTACGAGACTAACCTCGATACGAAATAAGTTAGTTTGGATTGATATGCTAATCCGTTTATTTAATTAAGTCGGATTAAGATTAAGGGAGTTTAATCCGTGTAACTCTTTTATACCTATATAAGTCAACATGTCATAATCGTGAATATGATCCATTTAATATGTTATTCGTTTAAGCACAATTAATGTGGACAATTAAATCATTTCAACTAAACCTTGACTATGTTTTATGTTTTTTCTTCTTATTTTGAATATTGAGATTAATTGTGACATTAATTGTGACAATTTTTTTTTTTTTTCCTAATAAGGTCACGTTAAGCTGTTTAATAAATAGGTCAAGTCAGTATTGAAGATTCTTAACAAGATTATTAAATGAGTCGGGTTTGTATTTACCTATTTTATAAAATACCCTTACATTGACACAACGCGATTATGACACATGAACACGAATTACCAGTCCTACGATGGGTGGGTTTTTTGACCACTTGTGTAGTACATAAAGACTCTTCTCTTCTCCGGTGTTCCCTTTTTTTTCTTTTTCTTTTTTGCTTTTTTTCGTGTAGTCCGCCTCGGTCGGATCCTTTAGGAGTTGGATGTTAACTTATAAAAGGAAATTTATATGAATAAGCAGCTATAAAGCACGGACACGAGACCCGAGTGCGATACGACACGAATACGATGATACGACTGTACACACAAATTTTGTAAGTCTGCAATAGAAACAAAATATGGAGCAAAATAGAATTTTATTAATTTATGAATGTGGAGTACAGTCCTTTGTAATATCTTTTACAAAAAAGGAATGGTCCTCTGATTCGATCTCCTTGTTTTTGGTGGGTTGGATCCAAGGGCTGCACGAGCTTGTTCTTGAATCACTGTGGAATTTGATGAAGAACGGCACGTTGTTGGATGTGCTTGATGTTCTTCGCTTTTGGATTTCTGAGTCTCTGAACTTCTGAATTCTGAATTTGTGTCTAAATTTGTAGACTTCTGAATTCTGAATCCTCTCCCCTTTTTCTTCCTCCAAGCCTCTATTTATAGGCTTCTTGGAATAATAGGATGATGACACGTGTCATCTCCTGATAAGGAAAAAATTATAACTGGGCCGGGCCGGTTATATTGTGATAATTATCCTTAAAGATAATTATTCAAAATATATTTTATTAGAAATAATTATCATTTCATTTAATTATCTGGGCTGGGCTAATTAAATAATTTAAGTGGACCAAGCCTGGTAAATTAAATAATTTATTTAAACATTAGGCCTATATTTAATGGGTCCATTCGTTAAAACCAAAGCCCACTAAATTTTAGTGTCTACAAATTGCCCCCACTTCAAGTCCCAATTTTGACAAGACTTGTCCCTTTTTCCAAGTGGGACTTGAAGTTTTTTTTTTTTTTTTTTTTTTTTTTTTTTTTTTTTTGTTTCCCATCTTAATTGTACTTTCCTATTTAAATTGAATTGTCCAAATCCCAATACAACTTGGAGGTATCTTGCTGCCTATATATACCCTCAATATTGTAGGGTTTGATATCAATTCCAAAAATCTCTGAAGACTTGTCAGATCACAAATAATTGGTACGTGTGTTTCTTCTTTTTTTCTTTTTTCTTTTTTTTTTTTCTCTTCTCTTCTCTTCTCCATGCTGGCTGGAGCTTTTTTTTTTTTTTTTTCTCTCCATGCATGCAGGAGAACATATATATATCTATATTTTTTTTCTCACTCTCCACGCACGCTGGAGAACTTTTTTTTTTTTTTTTTTTTTTCTAACCCTCTTTTTTTTCTTTGCAAGGCTTGATTGGGTATAACAACTTGATTTGTGTCAACCGTAGCAGAAATTGAATCCTCCTTCTAGACAACACCGATTTAAGCTTTGGTATCCATCATGGTGGTGTTCAAGTGTTTCGCAAAGCAAAAGCTGACTATCTTAGAGAGCAAAAATAGTCAACGAGTCCAAGGAACGACATTAAGTGTATATGACTCACTTTTTGGTCGCAATGCTATTCAAGTGCCTGATTCTAACAATAAACATTGTTCATCTCATTGGACATGCACGGCCACATGCGAACTCACCGACTTTGGTCCTGATCAGATTAATGAAAAATTTATTGTCTCTAAAGCCTTGATACTAAATTCTTCACTTCATGAGAGAGTTGTTGAAGAAAACCAGTTTTCATTATTGGGTCTTAATGTTCAGGCGAAAGAAATATCATGGAGTATTCCCTATAAACTTCCTGCTGAATTGTTATAAACCGAACTATATTGGGAGTGGTTAGAAGATGTCTTGGCGCATTTCCACGACTTTCTATCAAAACAACAACTATATGGTGCTTTATTCGCCTCCCTATTTTCTTATGATCGTCATGAAGATGTATTCAAAGCATTCCTTAAATGTTGGTGCCCAGCCACTAATACACTTCATTGTTCTATTGGCGAGCTATCAATTTCTCTTCGAGATCTATATATGCTAGGTGGTCTCCCTCACCAAGGAACAATTTATGATGAAGTTATTCCTTGTGCAGATGAACTATCAAGAGCTGGCAACAACAAAAATTCTATCCCTTTGAGTTGTCAACACCTATTTTTGGCCTTCCACAGACTTTCCAAGAAGTATAAAGGAGATCAGAATGTGAAGATATCTGACTGGATTAATTTCTGTTTTAAAGGTGCATCAAGACATGCCAAGCCTTCAAAGAAATCAACAAAAAATAAAGTTCACCGCCCTATGAGGACTCAAAATCCGTCTGGTGTGATCCCTCCTGTCCGGTCGATGTCCACCAAAGAGAAAGAAGTATTTATCAACCTTGGTGTAGATGAAACATCGAGAGACACCACTTATCTAACTGCTTTTTTAGCATGTTGGCTCTGCAAATTTGCCTTACCTGCACACCCTAGCAATATAATTCGTCCTGGGACTTTCAAGGTCGCCAGCATGTTAGCAGATGGCTGTAACATTTGTCTTTTCATCTTGGTTCTGGCCAGTATTTACAGAGGCTTGAACGAGATTGTTTCCTCACCAGATCCTGAAAGCTGCTCTGCAATATTTCCTATTCACTATGTATTCGGATGGTTGAGTGAATATTTCAGAACTAATTTCACCATTCCTAATACCAACTATTGGCCTAGAATGACATTATATGCAGGCGAAGGAGGAGCAAGATACTTTGACCATTTTGAAGCCCAAAATTTATTCAGATCATGTAAAGGAATAAACTTAACTCGAATGGCTAAAAGATCTTCAAAAGAGCGACTTATTGTAGATAATGGCGAGATGACAAAGGCTGACTTTGACACCCTAATCAATCTTCGATCATGTTATTTGACATTGCGCCAAAATGACCGTCTTATCATTGAGCCGTATAGTCCACACAGATTTAGCCGACAATTTGGGTACCATCAAAATATTCCTGGAAAATTAAAAAAATGACTTTCGTACTTGCACCTTAGAGGAATTTTTAAAGCATTGGAACTCATCCGTTCATTATTCTTCTGGTTGTGATGCGTTGCTTCCTTCAACCTTAAGCCACCAAAAATCATCAGTTACCAGAGCATATGCCAAATGGTGGTCCAGCGTATATATTGATCCATTTACACAGAAAGAAACTACCTCAAAGCAATCTAAACGTACGATTTCCCCACCAGAGAAACCAACTAAAATCAGGAAGGTTTTAATTAAAGGACTGAAGTCAAATCTCCCATCTAAGCCAGTGCCAAAGTTAACCATCAAATCTCATAATGATTGTGACGTTGGTGGAGGATCTAGTAGCCATCACCAAACAGCAGAAGATGTCCCACCACTAATCAATAACCGTCGTCGTCGTCAGTTGTCAATGGAGTTAAATGAGGATGTGAAAGCTTATGATAAGGATCGTAACTGGAAGCATGTCACCGACAAAGTGAGACTTGATTCAGTACAGGAATGTGTTGCCACTTCTCTTGATCAATTTTTTACTGGGGTACCTTACAGTTCACAACCTATACAGGTAACTGTTATTTTATATATATATATATTTTTGTACTGCAAATTACCATTATTTATTATTATTTTTTTAATAGATAAAAGACAGCAAGGGATTTCTTGGGGAAGATGTCGTCATTGTTGCTAACCCAACATGTAGTGAAGAATCTATTTATGGACCGTCTGCCTTAGAGTTGGCCACTGCGATAGGAAAAGGTACAGAGATTTCACTACAAAGAAGCAGAGTTAGTCAACACTCGGATATTTTGGGGGTTGCTGAAGTGACTAGTCAAGTTATGGAGGTGGTTGAAAATATTGGTAAAGATCATGTAGTTATCCCTTCTTTGATTTTAAGAGAATAGGGTCCACCCTTGCATCGTGTTGCCCCTTCTGAAATGTCAATTTTCAATGCGGAAGAGATCGTTCTTGATGTTCATCGTCGTGCTGCTTTATTCTTTATTGATTTCATAAAGAATATCATACGCAATACTCCTACCGATAAAATACCGTCTCGAGCACCTAAACTTCAAACACTTTATGAAGGACTCACAAAACTCCCTGG